AGACTCCGAGAAGTAATTTTGTATGACCAAGAAACACTTCAATAAAGAGAAATTCAGCTTCACTTCCAGTCTGCGAACCATTTGAAACTTGAATTACTGAAAAAGCGCAGATAAATAGCAACACCACCACCGCCCCGATCGGTACGGTCGTTACGAATCAAATGAAAACATGGAAGCGAGTAGGATGTTGATGGAAGACATGGTTTTAACCACGGCTCCGAAACAAGGATCGCGTGTATGTTTTTGCTATTGAAACTTGACAACATGTCGGGGTAATGAGCAGGAATACTTTGAGCATTTATGTGAATAGCGTTAAAGTTATTGCTAAATTCAGAAAAAGTTGAATCTAACATAATATTTAAGAGTGCAATGCTTTCAAAACTGTCAGTACTGCTTAATCCATCAGAGGCAGAATCAAAGGCGAAGAAATTGGAACTCCGAACACTATCATCTGAAGAAATCGTATTAAATTGTATCTGATTACTAAATATATGTAAAACTAAGTAAATACATATATAAAATAAATAATTCAAAAATAAATAAGTCATCAGTAAACAACCTGCCTGCATTATGGAAAGAAATGTATAATTCATTTAACAATAAGTGAAGAAACGGAAGGTTAACATACCATGGACACAAAAGTGAGAGGTGATAATGCGTAGACAGAGAAACCTATAGACAAATTGACGCCTTCTTTCGCATTCGCACACGAAAGAGATGGATTTATGCATACGTCTTGCATAGAAATGAGATAGAGCGGTGTGATTGTATGTCCCTCTCTCCGTGCCGGTTTTTTGTTTAGCAAACTCTACAGTTTGCTAAACAACTTTGACAGCGTAGCGATTTAAGGAGTTTACAAGTTGGTTTAAGTGAGAAAAAGTGTTTTGTGAGTTTAAGATTGGTGAAGGTGGTGGTGAATCTTGTTCAGTTCAGTTCTTAGAACAATAAAAAATTTTAGGACTTTTTCAGGAGATTTTCAGGACACGTTTGCTAACTTCAGTAGCGCTGACAAAATCCGCCATTTTGCTTATTTAATTTGTTTGTTTTGAAGTAGAGTTTATAAGTTGTTTTGTGCAATATTAATTTTAATATAATGACATGAATAAACATATACATGTTATTAAAAATTCATGATTGGTAAGTTTTTAATGTGAATACTTTACAAACATATATTTAAATTACGTTAGTTTCCCCGGTTGAAACTAACTTCGTGTCCTAGAGGAAAATAGCTACTTACGATTTGACAGCGCTTACCGCTTACGATCGCCATTTTGCTTACAAGCGCTTGCTAGCGCTTTTTTCTGCCAAACGCACTTAATATACTTTTATCACTAATACTAAACATTCCAAAGAAAGATTACAATAACAATTACCAACATACAAGAAAAATTATAACACTAAATAATAAACATTCCAAAGAGAGATTATTAATCATTACATTTTACTATCTAATCAACGATTAACAAGGAAAAGTAAATAAGATATGATGATAAAAAGAAAACTAAAATATGAAGTCCAGAGAAAAGTTATAACAGAATTACAAAAATTAATAAAATTATAAAATAAAATTATATAATTTTATTAATTTTTGTAATTCTGTTATATATACTTTACAAACATATATTTAAATTACGTTAGTTTCCCCGGTTGAAACTAACTTCGTGTCCTAGAGGAAAATAGCTACTTACGATTTGACAGCGCTTACCGCTTACGATCGCCATTTTGCTTACAAGCGCTTGCTAGCGCGTTTTTTCTGCCAAACGCACTTAATATACTTTTATCACTAATACTAAACATTCCAAAGAAAGATTACAATAACAATTACCAACATACAAGAAAAATTATAACACTAAATAATAAACATTCCAAAGAGAGATTATTAATCATTACATTTTACTATCTAATCAACGATTAACAAGGAAAAGTAAATAAGATATGATGATAAAAAGAAAACTAAAATATGAAGTCCAGAGAAAAGTTATAACAGAATTACAAAAATTAATAAAATTATAAAATAAAATTATTTAAGAAAAAGTTCATTTTTACCGGCCCTCTTAGTACGCTGTGGTGCACCTTTATCTTCGGGACCTGATTTGCCTCAACCACAATAGGATAAACGGGTGAAGCAGAAGATGACCCGTTGCATAATGCGTCAAGCTCAGATAATGTCTCAAGTTGGTGCCTTGTGCCATCTGGAGTAAAAATATTGATAGCTCCATCCTTGGTCCAGCATTTGGTGATGCCATACCTTCGCCTAGCTTCTAGAAAAACACTGTGGCGCCTCCTTGTTAGAAACTCAGACTGGGTTGTATCTGTGCCATTAAGTTTGGTTTTGGAGTACCAAACCTTGTCTCGCATCACAGTATCGCTGAATTTGACAACCACAGGCCTGTAAGATTTATCGGAAGGGCGTCCCAGACGATGACAACAGCTTATGAACGTTTTACTGAAACCTGGGACTAGGAGTTTCGTGCTGATAAGTGTACTTATGACGGCGGTAGTATCCTCAGATTTTTCTTCGCGAACTCCATGGAGTAGGATCATCTTTCTGCGGCGACGCATTTTACTACGATTCAGTTCTCTTCCCAGAAGATCTTCTTGGTTATGCAAAGATGTTAAAGCAGCCAAGATGAATTTTCTAAAAGTATTAAAATCACCTGGTAGGGAAGATGAAGTTGTGGCAGCAGAACTAGATTGTTGCAGTTCCCGCTGAAAGTTATCCATTTGACTTTGGAATGACTTTGACATCTCCATATGTAAACCTTTCAGTGCTTCCATGGTGAAAGTAGTTGTAAAGTGCAGTAATGTTAGAGAAAATACTTGGAAATAAGAGCTGGTAGGTAGTAATTTATTACATATAAATAATATACATAAAATTCAAACTGTAACTATTTTTAAAATATATTTAAATCTAAGATGTCAAAAATGTGTACTACTCAATTCACCTACCCTCACAGAAAAAAAGAGATACTGTGGTTTCTTCAGGGCTTTGATTGTCTCGACGGCGTTCTTCACTTTGCTCGCAAATACGCATATGTCGCTTGGCTTCTCGCCGACTTTTGGAAGGTTCTTCATTTTTTCTAGTTCTGCTATTGCCAGTGCTCCAGGTCTTCCGAATCTTGCTTCTAGTCCCTTGATTACTTCGCGTGGGTCTTCGGCGGTGAACAGCAGGCTTTGGACGGCTTCTTTAGCTTTTCCTTGAATCGCTATTCTAAGGCGCGCTAGGTTCTGATTGTTACTGAAAGAAGCGGCCATATCCTCGTATGATCTCTTGAAGGCCAACCATTCTTCACAGGTCCCGTTAAAGTGAGGGAGTTCGAGGTGCTTCGGTGAAACGGTGTCACGTGACTTCTCAGATAACTTAAGTATGACTGAAGCCATTTCCTGGATGTCACTCTTGATTTCTTCTGCCTCTATCGGTTTGTGGTTCTTATTAGGCATGTCTCCGGTTTGGATGAACCACGGCTCGACTTCTTGAGTTCGTTCGAACAGTTCTTCCCCGCACCATCTTCTTCTTCCGACTCTGCGGTGAGAAGTTCTAATTCCGCTTGGAGCTACTTTTGATCGAGCTTCTGCCAGTTCTAGTTCCCTTAATGCCATTGTCATTTTTGCTTGCGCTTCTGCTCTCTTCTTATGCGACGAGCGAACAGAATGTGTGTCTAGATCGCGGGTCGTCTTCTTAGGGTGAGGCCGCTGCAGACTCTTTTCTTTGGACGTTGGTATGCTTCTCGAATCTGCGGCGTCGGCGTTGGATGACTCTCTTCTTGGCGAGGAACTGACGCTTCGATGGTGCGGGTCGGGGGGGGGGGGTGTAAGTTACAATTTCCGATGTTGATTCCTCTCCGGGAATGTTCTTGGTATAAAGTACGGATTGTCTGTGTACGCTGCTGGGCGGTGATCTTGTAAGCGTCGATCGATTTGAAGTTAACGCGTTCGTAGTCATCGTGCTTCACCTCCAATTCGTCGTACTGGTAGTAGCGTTACTTTCACTCGTAGTCTTCGACTGCACTGATTTTGATCTCTTATTTGAAGGCATCTTCCCAGTTTTTTTTCTTGAACCTGATCCGGCTTTTCGAAGGACCAATGTTGATGCTCGTGTGTGAGTGTGTTAATAGTGGAGCGGGTTTGGTGGCGGGATGTCAACTGGAGAGCATGCAGTAGCAGTAGGATGAGCAATAATAACACTTCTTCAGAGTTTCTTCTATTTATTTTCTTGATGTTTTATTCTTACATTTGCCGGATTCGGAATGTTTCCACAAAAAACGCCTCTTTTTATAGGCAATTCTGACCAATCACGGTTCTTAAATTTTGCACACAGCACTAATGGATTGCACACGGCTCTAATGTATTTCCGTCGACCAATCAGAGCGCAGGGCGACCTTTTCTATGGAAAACTTACAAATGCCTTTTATTTTGTGGTAAAACATCCCTTACAAAGTTTTTATACTTTTCTGGTATTAGAACTAGCTTACATTTATTATATTACACATTAAACATTCTTAAAAACCTTAATTTATACCTTTAATAAATAAAAATACTGAAGCGGTCTTCTTACGGTACAGCTCCCTAGTAGCTAAGCTTATACGGCGTTAAATGCACGTAGCGCCGCCAGGCGGCAGGAATGCACAACGCTTATCATGATAACTACGTTACGCTTGCTAATCCTAAAAACTATGCAGAGTACACTTGAACTTCTTATTGACTAAATCTATCTTAGCATAGTTCTAAGTTACAATGAAAACAAAATTAAACAAATGATCAAAGTCACATTCTTACCGTAGTTTTAGATTACAATAAGAACAGAATTAAATAAGTAATTAAATTGTCATTTCGTCGCTAACATTCTTTACGTAGTTTTTAGATTACAATAAGAATAAAATTAAATAATTAATTAAATTCACATTTCGTCGCTAACGGTATTAAAGGACAAGGGATCGGTAAAAAGACAAAAAGGAAGGCAAGCATGTTGATGGAGGAGTTATATGATATCAGAGAGAAAAATGTGGGCACAGGCAATGCATTTACAGACAAACGAAATGATAATATACCCAGACATCAATGACAGTGTTTTAGATATGCCTGTATATTTTGAAAATGACTTGGAATGTGGAGAAGAACTAACTATTGAAAACTGTTCACTAAGTGATTTAATAATAATAAACCCTACAGCAGAAGCTGAAAATACAGAAACCGGTCTAAACAACGTCAGTCAGTCTGATCATGTTGGTGAATCAAACTGTCCATTAGGAAATAACGAAGAAGAATATTCTGTGGCAGAAGTTATAACTGAAACTATACCGAAGATGAAAAGAGAAAAAATAAAGATAATAGAAAATAAAAACTTTTTAGAAACTCCCAAGAATATTAGTTACGATAAGAAGTACAAAAAAGTTTCCCCTGAAGCGCCTTTAATAATTTTAAAGAAGACTGCAAGACCGAGCAAATATTATAAAGACGATGAGGCTATACTAAGAGACTTACTAGATGATAATATTTAAATATAAATTCGGAATGCTCCAAATAATATTATAATAATTACTTACGTACGTACTATGATTAATAAAAATGTTAACTTTATTATATGATTATTTTATTAATTCACATAAGTTTTGTTTTTAGTTGATTTTATTTAGATTCTTTTGCATATACATACACAAGTACGTATATAGAAAGAATTTTTCATTTTATAAGTTCGTTTTTTTATTCAAAAAGGATTTTTACTGGATAAACATATATTATTATATTTAGTCCGTCAGTTAGATCAGTGTTCCGCAAAGTGTGTACCGCGGCACACTGGTGTACCGTGCTCATTAGTTGGTGTGCCGTGGAAAAATAAGGTTATCTTATAAAATTATTTGTAAGGTTAAGTAACATATCTACACAAATCACGCGAGCGCACGAGTGAGGCGTTTTGTTCCGTTCATCTAATTCTGTCCGTCGTTTCATTAGGCGGGGATGGAGGCTCGCGGGCCCCGCTACCCGAACTCTCTGGTCACCAGTCTGTCAGTATTGAGTATTGTTATGTTTATTATTCTAAGCATAAAATAGGTATTAAAATAATGGATAAATTCATTAAACGTAGTGTAAGTTTGTCAGATGAAAGTAATGAAGAAGAAAAAGAGTCTATGAAAAAGAAACCCAAAATTGTTCATCGAAAATATGACGAAATCTACATAAATTACGGTTTTACATATTGCGGAGACGAATCTTGTCCTACCCCAAAATGTTTTGTTTGCGGAGTAACGTTGGGTAATAATTCGATGGTGCCCAGTAAATTAATACGACATTTAAGTACTAAACACCCATCAGTAGCCCAAAAAGACAAAATGTATTTTCAACGTTTGAAGGACCAATCGAAGAAGCAGGTAAATTTCATGAATTCGTCTTTCAAAACCTCAGACAAAGCACAAAAAGCAAGCTACGTAGTCGCTAATATGTTAGTTAAAGCTAAAAAGCCGCACTCTCTTGCTGAAACTGTAGTTTTACCTGTCTGCAAAGAAATCGTCAAGATAATGATTAGCCAAGAAGCTGCTAAAGAAATTGAAAAAATACCTGCATCAGCAAAAACGATTTTACGTGGAATCAATGACATATCCAACGACATTAAATGGACGTTGATTGAAAAATTTAGAGTTAGTGGAGTTTTTGAGCTACAAGTTGCTGAGTCCACTGACAACAGTGGTCACGCGCATCTCGTCTCAAATGTTAGATACATTGATGGATGTGAATTAAAAGAGGACTTTTTATTTTGTCTGCCACTGCCTAACCATGCAACTGGTGAAGAAATATTTAAAGTAACGGACGAATTTTTCAATGAGCATAATTTGGAATGGCATAACTGTATAAGTGTGTATAAGTGCAGCGGCTATGACAGGAAAGGTTAAAGGCTTTATAGCTAAGGTTGCTGAAAAAATTCCTAATGTTCAAAAACAGCATTGTTTTTTACATAGGGAAGCTCTTATGACGAAGTCTCTGCCTGACGAACTATTGCACGTTCTTCAAGAAATTATCAAAATCGTCAATTACATCAAGTCGCGACCGCTAAACTCTCGTCTTTTTAATGCTTTTGTTTCATACAGGTGTACGATTGCTTTCTCGCGGCAAAGTACTTTCCCGAATTTATGAGTTGAAAAATGAGACTGAGATGTTTTTGCAGTCCCAGGGTTCAGATTATGCACATTTATTTAAAAAAGAAGAATGGCTAGCAAAACTTGCATATCTGACGGATATATTTGCTCACTTAAATGAGCTCAATAAAAAAATGCAAGGCAGATATTCCAATATTTTGACATCGTCGGAACTATGGATCAGTCTCGCTACGAATGGTAATAATAAAATGTTCCCAAATGTCATGGCAGCTGATCCAGAAAAAAGGGTGCAGGCTTTGATTGTCAAACACTTAAAGCTTCTTGCAGAGAAAATGAATTTTTATTTCCCTAAGCGTGATTTGCAAGCTATGGACTGGGTTCGAAATCCATTCTCCGAGAACATTCCTTTCGGCCACTTACCAATAAATGAGCAGGAAGAACTGATGGAAATGAAAACGGATCGCACATTAAAATTAAAATTTTCTGAAACTGATTTAGAACAATTTTGGCTATGTGTGAAAAATGAATATCCTCTGCTTTCTAAGCACGCTATTGCAATACTTTTGCCGTTTGCAACGACCTATTTGAGTGAATTAGAATTTTCGACTCTTACCACAATAAAAACCAAAAAAAAGGGAACGCCTCAGGACGATGGACGAAGAAATGAGAGCAGCCTTGTCAGCGATTACTACAAATTTAGACCGTCTATGCTCAATTAAACAGTCTCATGTTTCGCATTAATATCCTTAATGATTTCTTAAATTTACGCGAACACTACACATTGAATAAAACTATTATTTACGGATTTTATCGCGTTTAATTACTTTAATTTATTTTTATTATTATCCCGACGTTTCGGGTGCTTTACAGCGCCCATGGTCACGGGGGGACTGAGATGTTTGACGTCCCAATGTCATAGTTAGTCCGGCTACCTTCAGTTTTTTAATATTAATTTTTGGTCCGATTTACGCAAAACGAGCTTATAGTATCATGAAGTCTTGCAGTGGTATGCTTGGGTTTGGGTTTAATTTTGTGGATTATAGGATCCCAAGCAGATGGTAGCACCCAACCATCTTCTCTATTGAAATTTGGATGTTTTTTAATTTCAATAGCCTCGCGTATCATCCTTGGTAGGAATCGGTGTTCTTTTGCGAGAATTTGTGGTTTATCAAATCTAATGTAATGGTGGGGACGATCTTGAACATGTTCGCAGACTACAGACTTCCCGGAGCGTCGGTGCTTCACATCAGCTATATGTTCCTTCACGCGGGTTTTTATGGATCTCTTTGTTTGACCTATGTAAGAGAGACCACATTCACAATCTAGCTTGTACACACCTGCATCTTGTAGAGGAATATTACATTTGATGGATGGTAAAAATTGACTAATCTTCTTCAGCGGCTTGTAGTATGTCTTAATGGACGCTCGCTTCAAGATGTAGCCAATCTTGTCCGTGACTCCTCCAACATATGGTAGTAGAGCAGGTGTGCGCTCGACTGTTGCCGGCTTCACTCGTTCACTGTGACGTAGGCGCGGGACCCGAAGCTTGTTGTCTTGCAATACTTGCTTGACGTGCTGAAGCTCCGCGGCCAGATGTTTTCTGTCACAGATCCCTCGTGCTCTCTGAAACAAAGATTTACCCACGGTAGCTAACTGTGAAGGATGATGGTGAGATTCACCATTTAGATATCGGTTGGTATGGGTCTTTTTTCTATACACAGTGTGACCAATAGTGTTATCAGGATTTCGGATGACTAAAACATCTAGGAAAGCTAAAGAATTATTTGCCTCTAACTCCATTGTGAATTGTATTTTAGAGTTTATGGAGTTAAGGTGGTCTAAAAATGCAGTTACTTTGTCAGATGGTAAAATTGTGAAAGTGTCGTCTACGTACCGCTTGTAGAACCTTGGATTTACAGGAGCAGTAAGAAGGGCTTTCTCCTCAAAGTCCTCCATGAATATGTCGGCGACTATGGGAGACACAGGTGAGCCCATCGCCACACCATCTACTTGCTTGTAGAACTCCTCCTTCCACAATAGATAGCCAGATGTGAGGCAATGTTCAAGTAGTATTGCATATTCTTGAGGCATGTTATTTTCTTCCAGCTTCCTAGTTACAATTGAGATGCAGTCCACAATAGGTAGGCATGTAAATAGTGACTGAACATCAAAACTGACCATAGTTTCATTGTTAGCGAGATGTAGGTCTTTTATCTCACTCACAAAATGGTATGAATCCTTTGTGTGTGCTCTGGTATGTCCTCTCAGTGGTGATAGTATTTTTGCTAAGTATTGTGCCAGCTTATAAGTTGGTGAATCGATCTGGCTCACTATGGGACGTAGTGGAGCGTTTGGTTTGTGTATCTTTGGTAACCCATACAACCTCGGTGGTTTGGCACATGATGGTATTAGCGAATTCACGTCGAGATTTAATTTTTCGGAGTATTTCTTTATTAAATCGCTAGTTGTTTTAAGCGTGTTAGTTGTAGGGTCTGTTTTGACCTTTTTATATGTACTTTCGTCCGATAAAAGTTGTTGTATTTTAAAATTATATTCCGACGTGTCCATTACTACCGTAGCATTTCCTTTATCCGCGCGGAGAATCGTGAGTTCTGGTCTGTTCCGTAAGTTATTTAGCGCTGTAAATTCGTCTTTGGGAAGGTTTGGTTTCGGCACTGAACTGCGACGTAACAAGGACGAAATATCTTGACGTATGGCCTCCAAATCTTCCTTACCGATATTATTCTTAAACAGACAATCCTCAACACTGCAGATAATTTCTTCGTACGGGATTTTTCGCGGAGTTAATGCGAAGTTCATTCCCTTCGCTAATACTTTCATTGTCGGTTCGTCCAGTGTATGTTTTGACAAATTACAGACAGTGCGTTGTTTATAGTTTGTGTCTATGGTCAACGGTTGTTTATTGTTCTGACGTTGACTTGGATGTTTGGCATTTGATTTGATCGTTAATTTTTGGTATTTTTCTATTTGTTTATTTTTGCATTCATTGTATTTTGATGTTTCTCGTTTGTTTAAAGTTTCGATGCAATTATTAAAATCAAATGTCGTTAAAATTGTCTTTAGTTCACTGGACAAATTGTCTATGGTGTTGTTTATGAAATGTAAATCGAACCGTTTCTGCTGAATCACCGTCCGTAACAACTTTTTACTTGCCTGATTTAAGATCTTAGCGCTTCCTCGAATGTCCTTCTTTGTTGATATTTTGACACACGTAGGAATGAGATTATGGTCTCTGCATCTCTTCAAGAAATTTAAAGATGTTATATATCTTGCGCGCTTGGTTCTAAGATCTTCTAATCGGCGAATTTTATTTGCTATTACCAGTCCGTACTGGTTCACATAATGATTTCTTAAATTTACGCGAACACTACACATTGAATAAAACTATTATTTACGGATTTTATCGCGTTTAATTACTTTAATTTATTTTTATTATTATCCCGACGTTTCGGGTGCTTTACAGCGCCCATGGTCACGGGGGGGACTGAGATGTTTGACGTCCCAATGTCATAGTTAGTCCGGCTACCTTCAGTTTTTTAATATTAATTTTTGGTCCGATTTACGCAAAACGAGCTTATAGTATCATGAAGTCTTGCAGTGGTATGCTTGGGTTTGGGTTTAATTTTGTGGATTATAGGATCCCAAGCAGATGGTAGCACCCAACCATCTTCTCTATTGAAATTTGGATGTTTTTTAATTTCAATAGCCTCGCGTATCATCCTTGGTAGGAATCGGTGTTCTTTTGCGAGAATTTGTAGTTTATCAAATCTAATGTAATGGTGGGGACGATCTTGAACATGTTCGCAGACTAAATACTACTTATTTATTTTACTTTACTATATAATACTAAAGATATAAAAGAAAATTTAATGATGAGGAAAACAGACATCGCCTATTTAACAGATTTGTTTACAAAATTTTATGTGGTTAATTTGCAATTACAAGGCGACAGTTTATATTTGATTAAAACAAAGTCCATCTTATCAGCGTTTCTTGCCAGAGTTAAACTAATGAAGCAAAATATTGGACGGTGCGAATTTTTTCAGTTCCCCAATTTGTCACAGACAAGCTGCCAGGAAGACGACGTTTCAACTTACGTTCAACATTTAAATGCCCTGTATTCGGCTTTTGAATCTAGGTTTGAGGATATTTTGACTATGGTAATACCACCGTAGATAATTAATCCATATGGTGACATAGAAGAAACGAATGTCATAATACAAGAGGAACTGACTGAACTAAGTACAAACGAAGAACGTAAGGTTCAGTTTAAAAACGGATATCAGCAATTCTGGCTGCAAAACAACATATCCGTTACTTATCTCGTATTATGGAATACAGCGAGGAAATTGTTAATTTCCTTCCCATCGTCATACCTAGTGAAAAGGGGATTCAGCGCTGTTACCAATCTCATAACGAAAAAAAGAAACAGACTGGGCATCATTAGCCGAGGAGATTTAGGATTAACCCTTATAAAATTTACGCCAAATGTTGATAATTTATTATTAAAGCATCAGGTTCATCCTTCTCACTAAAAATATTGACTTATTGCTTATGTTATTTTATTTATAGTTTATTTTATGTTTATTTAATGTTACGTATATTTTACATAACAGATACAAATTTTTATTTTGAATAGTTTTAATTTAAATTCAATTAATAAATGTATAAATTAACATGTGTTTTTACTTTAAGTTTTTAACACTAAACTTCACTATTTACAGGAAATCAATATCAGGTAAGTAGGTTTCTAATACAGATAAAAGGTGCAAGGCATCTGGCAACACTGTTTGTGAGTGTCTTTCTCATCATAGATAAATAAATATGTAGTTTCTCATAAAGTAATATATTATACCCCTTTCACTCGGCCACCAATCTAATCAGATCATACAATCGTCGTCAATACGTCGGCTCGGGTACGGGGCTAATTAGATCAGATAAGATCAGAAGTACTGCCTTATAAAAAAACTACTTTTTCCTTTAAACAAAACCAAAGACAATATGCAATAGATAATAGTATCAAAGACAAAGATATGCTCTTTTATTTTAAACCATAACCTGGCAATGTTTCTTAGAAAAAAAAAAGAAATCACTCTGAACTTTCGGCGTTCCACGTGTCAATTTGATGAAGGTGCTCCGTCTTTTTTATAGAATTTTATATTTGTGTCTGGACTAAAAACGAAAGTATTGTACTTTTTTATATTCCTTGTAATATAGTAAACACGTAGATATGTAATTTGTGGTATAAAAAGTGAAAAGTAAATTGCCAAAAGTACTTCAAATTCCGAAAGGCCCGTTTTGGCGGGTGGGTTATAAATGTGTTATTTTTCAAATTCTCATTTATTTTTAGTGTAAAATGTAAGTAAAAATAGTTTTACTACATATTTCAAATAACATGACTGGTTGCGCGGAAAACCATTCTCGTTTTATTTTGACGGTAGGAACTTGTCGAATCATTATTCCTTTCCAAAACAATATCATTCGTACCCTCCTATCGACACATCGGGGTGGTGGGGTGGGAGGGGAAAGAAGACGATTCTAGAACATCGCGTAATCACCTGAACCGAGGATATATAAGACACGCGCGACCGATGCGCGGCCTCTCTCTTCCCGCGCGCTCGTTTGGAAACACATTTAGTAGAAACCGCTTTGGCCTGGAGGCAGTCGAGCTCCAGGAACCCGCCTCACCTCGTGTGAG